TGTAGTATAGAATTTTAAAATCTTTTGGCGAACATATGTCTGCATTTTTGTTTTGTCTACAAGTGTATGTTAGGCCTTAGAACTGAGTTCTCCAAAATATTTCTAACATTTTACATTTCAATAAAATATTTTATAACTATATAATTTATATCTTGTTATCTCATAATTATATGTATTTACATATCCAACATATATTATACATCTATATTTGTATAATTACATATAATTATACAATTATATTTCATATATAATTATATTTGCATATATTATTTATGACTATGTAACATACACTTATATATAGTATATAATTATACACTAATTATAAATTGGTCTGTATTTTTGTCAATACTTGCGTTTTTAAAAATCACTTTAGTCGTTCTAGTGTATATGGCATTCTGGGTTTAATTTACATTTTTGGTGATGCAGTATAGCACCATTTCATGTTGGTTGGCCTTTTCAATAGCGTTCTTTGTAAATTTCTGGTTTCATTTTTGCTGGTTTTATTTTCTGATTCTAGTTTTTATGTATTTTTAATTAGTCCTTTGCGGGGTACAGTATATCACTGGATTGCTGGATATATGCATACTTCCACTTGTTAATTACTTTTGCATTTTGAAGTTCTTTGTTTCAGTATGTTGCAATTTGACAATTGTTCCTTCTTATATGGTTGCTTTCACAAGAAAAAACAAATTACACTTATTGAGGTAAGCTAGGACTAACACGCCTTTGGGGACATTTACAACCCACATGAAAGCATATGGCTTCAGTCTTGGCTCCTCTTCCCATCCAGCTTTCTGCTAACATGCCTCCTACTTAGGCAGCAGGCAACAGCTCAAGGAAGTGGATCCCTGCCACCCACATGGGAGACATAAATTGGGTCCTGGGCTCTTGGTTTTGGCTCGGCCCAACCATATGTTGGCATCTTTGGGAGTGAACCAGCAAATGGAAAATCTGCCAAATATAAGTGGAAAACAAAGTCTACTTCAAAGTCATAAAGACTTTGGAAATTTTTGTGTAAGATACAAGGAATAAAAATGCATTATTTTCCTGTATGAATGTCCATTGGCCCCATAGTACATATGAAAAAAAAAAAATCCTTTCCTCACTGTAATGTAAACTTCTCCATAAATCAATCAATTACTTCTATGCTTTCTATAAAAGGGACTAGGTTTTAAGTGATTGCAACTTTCAGTAACCACTGGACGTCAAATACACAAAGCTTTACATCTTCTGTGTAATTTACAACTTTTTCTATTGACAAAGAGAGGGATGGGCAGATCAAATAAAAAACCAAAAACCAACAAATGTTTGAAATATTCTGATTTGTAATGGAAGTAGAGTGAAGTTTATCATTACATGTTGAGGGCTGTGCTTTGTGTCCTAGTACGAAAGTGCAAGATGGTGTGGTGTAAACCAAGTACTACACAACACAAAGGACAAGACCAGTGCAAGCAGTAGAGGAAATCTTACCAAGCAGGACTCATATGAACTCTTGAATTGAATTGGGCTCTGATTAGGTCACTCTGAAAACAGGAAGTCTTTTAGTTTGTTTGCTAATGTCTTTGGGGTATCTTATTTTCATACTCAGCTTTTGTTTCGCTATTTCAAGTCTTAAAATAGACCAATGATTCTAAACTTGACTGCAGACTGAAGCATTTACAAAGCTTTTTAACAACAGTGCTCAAAATGTACTGGCCTTGTGAAATCGAGTTGTGGATGTGGGGTTAAACCATGTTTACATCTCAGTTGATTGAAACATACAGCTAAGGTTGAGGAGCAATGAATTTAGAAGATGCCTTGCCCCATATCCAGATGCAAAAATGCCTAAGTTTACATTCAGATAAGCTAATACTTTGTAATAAAGCAATGTCTGGAGACATTTTTACCCTGGATATCCAGCTGATGGGGCCAGGGACTGCTACTGAATGTCCCATAATATAAAGGACAGCCCTTACAACAGATAAATTGATAAAGAATAATAATGCAGAAAAGAACAAAGGATAGAAAACAGCTGGAACTGAACACAGAATTTTGTTCAAATATCAGTTTTAGTGATGGAAGCCCAATAAAAACACAGAGGTTTTACATCTTAAAATTTTTATTTCTAACTTGAAAGGCAGATTTTACAGAAAATAGGATACAGAGGTCTTCTCTCTGCTGGTTATCTCCCCAAAGGGATTCAACAGTTGGAGCTAGGCCAGCCCAAAGCCAAGAGCCTGGAGCTCCCTCCAGGTCTTCCATGTGAGTGCAGGGGCCCGCTGATGCTGCTTTCTCAGGCACACTGGCAGGGCACTGGATTGGAACTGGAGCAGCCAGGACTCCAATAGGTACCCCTATGGGAAAACTGGCACCACAGGCAGAGGTTTGACTCTGAATTACAGGGCCTGCCCCAAGGTTTTACATTTGGGTCAGAGAACTATTGCATGAAGCGACATGCTACAACTGAATTTTTAAATACATGTCTTAGTAAAAACTTCCTCCAAGTTTCCTGCTTGGGTGCAGGATCCCAAGGCCCTGGGCTGTCCTCAAATGTTTTCCCAGGTCACAAGCAGGGAGCTGGATGGGAAGCAGGCGGCTGGGATTAGAACTGGTGACCATATTGGATCCTGGCCTGTGCAAGGCAAGGACCTTAACTACTACGTTATCATGCTGGGCCCAAAGTTTTAAAGATTTTAACTGACACAGTAAGACATGTTTCTGTCTCAGTGACAAGTCTAGTATCAATTTCATAGTTCAGTTCTATATTAAAAGGTAGTATATTTAAGATGATTAACTTGGTAAATATTTTCTTGCTCATTAGGGACTTGACCAAGTGAATATGATATTTGAGTTTTTTTTACATTGCAGTATACAGTGGCACACTAATTTCTACTGTTTTATTTGTCAGTAACTATTTATCATGTTGTTTCTAGATACTGTTAGAAAGCAAAGTGAGGAGTTATACCATTAAGTACCTTACCCTCCAGACAGAATGGTCATTTAGAGGGGAAAGGCACTTCTGAATTGTTAATGTAAATGTTGAACCTTCAAAGGCATGTAGCTCAGAACATACAAGGTAGGAAACACCTAAGAAATCTGCATGTCAGAAATACTGAGACCAATCATGGCCCTGTGAACTTTGCATCCTGGGATGTTCTGGCAGCTACTGGTGTCCACTCAGCTAATGTTGCGACTTTATTTATTCCCCACACACATTGTTCCCCAGTTAGGGTGATCAAAACTGTTTCCAGACCCAGGGTTACTGCTGTGAAGCTGGCACTATGGACACTAGTTCTCGTTCTGACTGCCCTACTACCGACTCAGTTCCCCTAACGTGCCTGGGAAAGCTGCATATGGCTGGCTCAGTGCCTGGGCATCTGCATCCTCGCGGGAGCCCCTGAAGAAGCACCAGGCTTCTAATCTTGGCCCATCCCAGGCTCACTTACTGTGGATATTTGGGAACGGAACCAGTAGATGAAGACCTCTGCCTCTCTCTGTAACTGCCTTTAAATCATCAATAAATCTTTAAAAAATGAAAAAAATTGTAAAAAAAAAAAACACTTTATATTTTTGAATTTTCTTTAGGGGCAAAAAAAGCCAAAATTTGATATCACTGAGAAAACAAAAGCTCTCTCAAGTTATCTATAATGATGCACAACAAGCTTATCTCCCACAATGTAAATGAGGTCTGACACAAAAGTGAACATTTTATATGCTTTTATATATGTATGTGAAAGCATAAGAACAGATAAAAGCATTTTAGTATGTTATGCAGACCCACCAGCAGTCAGCCTTGGGAGAGCAGCTACCCGCGAGGGAGCAGGATGAACCTCTGAGGGGTGACGTCTGGATGCCAGTTACACACATATAAACTGCTCAAGCATCTGTGACATGTCTCTACCCTACCCCCCCACACACTCCAGTATACACATTTTACAATGTTATGGGAATCATGGATTATCTTCTTTATAATTACAGAAAACTTTGTAGTTGTTGCTGGTTACATTATAATATCCATTATCAAGTGATTAAAAGCAGGTCACCTTTATGCAAACCTTTGAAAAATATGCATTTGATTAAAAATATAGAAAGTTATCTCCTTCAGTTAATTCATTTCATACCAGTTATGTTTTTTTTTTCTGAGATCTTTTCTTTTTCTTTTAAGATTTGTTTGTTCTTCTGTGGTAAAGCAACAAGGTGAAGGAATCCACCATGGGGGGAGGGTTTGGGGAGGGATGGGAGGAATCCCAATGCCAATAAAACTGTGTCACATAATGCAATGTGATCAATAAAAAAAAAATTTGTTTGTTCTTTAGGCAGGAGCCAGAAGCCTTTTCTGGGTGTCCCACATGGGTATAGAATCCTACAGCTTTGGGACATCCTCCATTGCTTTCCAAGGCTATAAGCAGGAATCTAGCTGGAAGTGGTGCAGCCAGGACATGAACCAGCACCCATGAGATGCCAGCACTACAAGACAGAGGATTAGCCAGTTGAGCTGTTGTGCTTGCTACAAAATCTTTCTACTACTATTGGCAAAAGCCAAGCAAGTGAATGATAATTCTCTTAAGGTATATAGCTCTAAAACAGACTCTGTCCCAATGAGGCACTTATATAAAATTATGCAATTGGGCCCAGCGTGGTGGCGCAAGTGGTTAAAGATCCTCGCCTTGCACGCCCGGGATCCCATATGGGCACCGGTTCTAATCCCGGCAGCCCCGCTTCCCTTCCAGCTCCCTGCCTGTGGCCCGGGAAAGCAGTCGAGGACGGCCCAAAGCTTTGGGACCCTGCACCCGCGTGGGAGACCTGGAAGAGGCTCCTGGCTTCGGATCGGCATGGCATCGGCCGTTGGGGTCACTTGGGGAGTGAATCATTGGACGGAAGATCTTCCTCTCTGTCTCTCCTCCTCTCTGTATATCCATCCGCCTTTCCAATAAAAAAATAATAAAAATAAATCTTTAAAAAAAAAAATCATGCAATTTCCATCCATCGCACACGTTATAGAAACAAGAACACACTTTTAATGGAAAATAAACTGTATTTATCTGTCATCTCAGGAGTTAGTTTTTTTGCATGTGTAGCATTTATATACTTTTTATTTACATAAAGACATATTATATTACTTTTGCATGATTTAAAAATAAGACTGCATTAGAATGTTTAACAAATGGGGAAATCTTTTGGATTATAGTTTTCAACTGTGTTATTCAAAAACATCTTGGAGCTTCTCAAGGATCTTTAAAATCAGTAAAATGTTGTAATGAAAAAACACATTATCATAACCAAAAGTATGATTTATTTTTGGAGAAAAATAATTAAAATTGAAGCTTTTCCAATAAAGGGGAGGAGTAAGAGGAGACCATACCCAGACTACATGTTAATCGCCAAACTCTGTGCAATGTGGATGTGCTCAACATGAATTTGGAAATTTAAATACCACAAATCAATTGTCAATCTTGCTAATTCAGAAATGTTAAAATAAATACCTACAAATAAGTATATTTTAAAACTGGAGTCCTTGACAGAGTTTATCAATCAATCTATTACATACAAACGGTACCGCAAATAAACTGACATTCTTGCTAGTTCCCACTTAATTTTTTCATAATATGGCTGTCTGGTGTTGCATTAGTGAATATACTTCCTACAAACACATGGGTGCCCCAGAGACTGTGACGAATCACTTTACAGCAGCCAAGATCATCGACGGAGAATCCTAAATGTCGGTAGCGTTCATCTGTTTCAAAAAGAGTGTTGTTTGTATATGGTCCAAAAAACTGGAAGAAATAAAGTAATATTTTCATTAGAAGGCATTATGGTAATACTTCCCATGTAAACATGATTACATCCCTACCAATAATCCAGACTTTTAAAATCAAGCATTAAAAAGGTCTGTTCAACAGCTGAACTACCTTCCTCAATTACCTAGAAAAGCTAAAAGATATAGCAAATTCTGTGCTTCAAATCAAATGTGTAATATTATATAACTTTTAAAGACAAAATGAATCTTAGAGAAGTTCACTATTGTTTCCATTTTAAGGAAGCTAAAGCCCAGTTTTTCATTTCTGTCATAATTTGTACCTTACTTTCCTTTGAGAACAAATAGTACATATTTCTATCTTAGATTCAAAAAATGATTTTATTACTACTTGTAACTGAACGATACATCTAGAACTGAAACTGTGACCACAATTATTGTAAAGCTATTTTCTTCAAAGTATAACCTACAAACAGTAATTTCTAAAATAATTATCCTTGTAAATATTTATTTTACTACTTTAACCTTTCTTCCTTTCAGAAATTAAACTACACTGAAGTCTAATTTTCAGCTCAAAAATAGTAAACATACCACCAGAAATCAAATAACACCAAGGCTTATTAATAACTAGCAAGGATGACTACTGTGGTTAAATAAAACAAAAGTTGCAGTGATGGAGAAACAGAACTGACTATGAAGGTCTCTCAAAACTTCTGGGGCCCAGCGCGGTGGCGCAAGTGGTTAAAATCCTCGCCTTGCATGCCCGGGATCCCATATGGGAGCCGGTTCTAATCCCGGCGGCCCCACTTCCCATTCAGCTCCCTGCCTGTGACCTGGGAAAACATTTGAGGACGGCCCAAAGCTTTGGGACCCTGCACCCGTGTGGGAGACCCAGAAGAGGCTCCTGGCTTTGGATCGGCAGAGGATTGGCCGTTGCGCTCACTTGGGGAGTGAATCATTGGATGGAAGATTCTCCTCTCTGTATAGCTGTCCTTCCAATAAAAATAAAATAAATCTTTAAAAAAAAAAAAAAAAAAAACCAAAAACTTCTGAATGCAACTGACCTCTAATAGTACTTCCTGGGTTTAACTGCAATATCTAAATACCACCAATGATCTATTTTTTACCAAGGTTATAATAATAATTTTATAATAAAATTCACTTATATAATTTGGCTTTCAAACTAAATTTAATTACTCACTGCCAAACCAGATGACGGGTCGATAAAGTCAGCCCAATAGCCTTCGGCTCGCAGAGCATAGCAAATTTCCTTAGCACCACTGATGAACTGGATAAAAACAGCACAAATAGTATGTTCAAGAAAGCACCTACAGATTACCTGATTTTAAAACAACTTTTAAAATGAATCTCGGCTTACAAAAGAATTCAGTAGCATTAAAAAAAAAAAACCAAAACCAAAAACAAATTAGAAACAAGTTGCGAAAACTTACCATTCCAAAAGATTAATGGCTAGCATAACATTTTAATTCTTAGTTTAGTCTTAATTTTCTGTTTTCTTCTAAATTATTTTATACTTTATAGAATATTTCTAATCAGTTCTATATTATCAGTTCCTGAATTTACCCTAAATAATAAATTGTAGTTGCTTATTTTATATCATTATGAAGGTGTTAGGAATGAATAAAAGGAAAATAAAATGGAGTCAAAGGATTTGAATCACTCATCAGTTTAAATGATAGCTGTTTCAAAACATATTTATGTGTTCTTCAAAAGACTTCATGAAACATTTCTGAAAAGGAACATGACAATAAAGGATTCTGTATTCTCTATGTATCTTTTGTATACCACAGCACATAATCACTACATACCACGAACCTGTACCACAGTTTTAGCTTTTCCATGCTAAAGTCTATGTCACTGTCAGCTTTATCAGAAGCACAAGTAATGAAGCATTAGTAACCAACACTAAGATGAGATGATAATCTTAAGAGAATCAGCTGAAAACAAAGTGGTGCAGGGGGTTGAATATTGTTTGCTTTGCGTCTGATCCAGCTCCTAGCCAATGCACTTAGAAAGATGGTGGAGGACGGCCGGAAAACTTAGGCCCCTGCCACCCACACAGGAGATTCACATGGAAATTTCAGACTTCTCACTTCGACCCAGGTCCTTGGGGAGGTGAATCAGTAGCGGAAGATCTCTTGCTGTTACTCTCCTTTCAAGTACATAATTTTTTTAAAAGATTATTTATTTTTATTGGAAATTCAGATACACAGAGAGGAGAGACAGAGAGGAAACTTTTCTGTCCAATGATTCACTCCCCAAGTGAGCACAACGGCCGGAGCTGAGCCAATCCAAAGCCAGGAGCCAAGAACTTCCTCCAGGTCTCCCACCTGGGTACAGGGTCCCAAGGCTTTGGGGCCATCCTCGACTGCTTTCCCAGGCCACAAGCAGGGAGCTGGATGGGAAGTGGAGCTGTCAGGATCAGAACCGGTGACCATATGGGATCCCAGCACTTTCAAGGTGAGGACATAAGCCGCTAGGCCATGGCACTGGACCCTAAAAATTTTTGCTCATCAAGATCAAATACTGACATCTGCTGGAAAAAATTAGAATTAGGTATATACCATACTAAGTATGGTTCTAAAATAATCACTAATATATTCACAATAATGTATCTTTTCCTCATAGTGAAACAGCTTTAGTCATTATTTTTAAAAAAGTCTCGATAACAAGGATGTTGTCATTTCAAAGTCCTGAAACCAGTTATCAGAATCTGACTTAAAAGCACACTAGAATCAGTTAGAGCTTAGCTCAGAAACTAACCCATCATACCTTAGGGCTATCTTGCAGTGCAACTGCGAGAGGTCCCTAATGGTTCCATGGCAGTGATAAGCACTAAGCCTTAGACTCATATGTAGACAAAGTGTTTATTGCTAGTTACTGCCCATTTAAATCCCAATTGTCTAAATTCAGATATCCTTAGAGAATGTCTTAGGCCTTTTTTGCAATTTCTTTTTTGGTAGGAATATGGAAATTACAATGTTGCTATAAATGAGGAGGACCAGATATCCAATTCTAAAAAAATACAAAATAATTCTTAACACTATGTTGCAAGGAAATCAGGAAAGGAGTTTTCAACTTAAAGTTCGATGCTCTTGAGTCACTTTTGGCCTGTCAAACAGGCAGAGGAATATTTCTGTCTTACAAAGAGATTGCTAGAATCCAGTACCAAACTCTTACGAGAAAAATAATTATACAGGTTCTAAAACATAAGATGGTAAAATACCACTTACCACTTCCCAGACAGACAAAAATGAAAAGAATGTTAACGCCTAATGCATGTTAGGGTGATAACCACATATTAGAACAATCTTTTCGGTAGCCAAATTGGCAGTGTCTATAAAAATTTTAAATGTAAAAATCCTCTGATTCAGCGACTCTCTACACAGGAATTTATAGAGATTAGTACTCATAAAAACATGTACAAAGACTTTTTTTAAACTATCGTACTGCTTGTAAAGGCAAGTTTGTTTTCAACCTAAAAAATTAAGGAAATTAAACATTTTTAGTCGTGTTTTACAGAATGAATTATAGCTGCATATCATGCTATTAAAAAAGTATCCAAATATATTTTTGGGTTTAAACAGCAAGAGGAAAAAAAAATGTGGGCATGATCACCATACTTTCCATTGTTACCATTTACTCCTTTATTTGACATGAATTAAACTAGTAGATGAGCGGGGAGGATTTACAGAAAGAGGGAGAGACAGCGGTAGCACAGTATTTTATTTTTTGGTTAGTTTTTACTGTACTTTTATAATTTCCTGAAACAGATACATACAAAGTCTCCAGAATTAAAATATTTTAATGGATAAAGAATGGATAAAGGGTAGAAGATGAGATTAACTGTTTTAAAACTGTGTGGTTCAATGGTACAAAAATCTGACCAAAATAAAACAATAAATAATTGAATTAATTACCTTTTCTAAGAGCATTTCTCTTTCAGTTTCCACCTCTTCACTCCAAACAGTCATGTCATTCTGAGTTTTTTGTGTTACAGTCAGAATCATTAGTTTGCTATTAGACATTTCTGGAAACAGTGATTCAAAATCTGCAAATAAAATTTAAAAAAAAAAAAAGAAGAAATAATTTGGTTTGTGGAAAAAAATACTATATAAAAATACTTTAAACAATCAGGCTAAATCATTATAATATTACTTTTATAAATGTGTATTATTTTTGAAAAAATGAATTTTAGTTTTTTTCACAGCTGCTTTTGTTGGATGAGCTGACATACAACGCCAATAGTTTAGATGAATAAACAGGGTTACATGTTTTGGGGATTAAAATAATTGTTTTTTAAAAAAGGTTATTACTAAGATTTTTCCCAGAATTATTTACTAGCTTATGAAATTATATATGCAATAATGACCCAGGAGTAAAACGGACTTGAGCTTGAGAGAAAGGTTATTAAAAATTCTACCATTTTTGGTCCAGTGTGGTAGCCTAGCAGCTGAAATGATCACCTTGCACACCCTGGATCCCATATGGGCGCCTTGCACACCCTGGATCCCATATGGCCTTTATCAGGCAGCCCAGCTTCCCATCCAGCTCCCTCTTGTGGCCTGGGAAACCTGCAGCAGGCTCCGGGCTTCTGGTTTTGGATTGGCTCAGCTCCAGACATTGCGGCCACTTGGGGGAGTGAATCATTCATTGGACTGAGGAAAGATCTTCTCTGTTTCTCCTCCTCCCTGACTTTACAATAAAAAATTTACTTTAATAAATTCTACTAGCAACAGAATGTGAGATGTCAGAAGATGAATGCTTCTGTCTTGACCACATAATTTTATCTGCCCACATTAACATATAAGGCACAAAGCATTTGCAATTCCTGTATATGATTTGGTACGGCACAGTGTTTTGGCACATAAAGTACAACACACCTCTTCGCAGCAGTTCTGGACACGTTTGGATCGCGCACTCTACTCTGGCACTTTCAAAGTAAGTTTCTGCACTGTTGATTTCTTGTTCAACAGGTGTATCACGGCCCTATGAAGAAATGGAGATATATATATATAAGTGAAAATAATTGAGTTCAAATCAAATTATGACCATCACGAAGTTTTATGTTGAAAGGATTTCTAAAATAAATTCTAATCTAACTGGAAGGTAAAATAATGTTTTCTATAAACATTCTGAAATATTTGAAAATTCTAAAAAAATTTTGAAACAGAATACTTGAACATATATTGATATTCCAACACATCATGAACTGAAATTGGGTAATACAGAGAGATTTAACTCTCTCATGATGTCTTTTCATATTTTGTGATATCTAACTATCTTTTCTTCTATGTTATCATCTATAAAATGGGAATTATAATGCTAACTTGTGTAATACCATGATTCATTAGCATAGCTTCTCCTACAGTAAATACAGGTGGCTTATTCAACTGAAAATTACTGGGAGCCTCTCAGGGCTAAGCTATTATGACAGGAGCAAATGAAAATGAAAACGAAAATTTAGTCTTCACTCTCAGGTATAACAGATCTAGAAGAGGAAAACTGAGCATAGAGAAACCAATTCAACAGAATATGGAGAGTTCTACAGAGTTAAGGTGAAAGTCGTTCAGATGAGGAAGGAATTTGCTTTGCTGGGCGGAATCAGGAAACAGATGAAATGGTAATATCTGAGCTACCTATTATCTAGTGTGCTTATATGATAGATAAAGAACAAGTGGAATGTAAACCAGGAATTCAGAAGGAAAAACAGAAGATCCAGTAACAGTATAAAGGCACACAATCATATATTAATAAGTAAATGAATAAATAAATAAGTTGTGGTTGGATTATAATGAGATAAAGAAGTGGTGGGATACAGGGAAGTGTTCAAAGCTGTGACATGAATTTTTTTTTTAACTTTTTCATTTAATCTAAAGGGAATTCATGCATCTCATACACACAGTTATACTTAATCCTCACAGAAGTCCTATTGGATAGGCATATTATCCTCATTTTATGAATAAAGAAACTGAGGCCCAAAAAGACAACTTCCTCAGGTTCACAGAATAAAGTCAGAGATAAAGCCAACCTTTGAGCCCAGGTTTATTTAACTCCTCAGTCCCTCATAGGATAATGTCTCTAAGAATCCAGATGATGTAAAGAGCCTTTAGATTCTGGCAGAAAACTGAAAAGACACCAATAATGTAGGAATAAAATCAGTTATGTTTGGTTGGCAGAGAAATGCCATGCCACGGCATGTCAGAAATAGAAGCAGCAAGTTAGGAATTATAAAACATACCCTGTGTTAGAAGCGAAGGGTGTAAGTGACCAAGAAGTTATTTAAATGAGTGTGAAGGACAAAAAAAACTGAGATGCATAATTTCATTGAGGCAGAAGAGAAACAAGGAGCCAATATACAAAAACACTTGAGACAAAAACACAGAGGCAGTCAAATGAATCCCAAATTCTGGTTATATATGTAACTCATCATAATTGTGAGGGATATTATTGCTGCTAATAATATGGTTCTGATAAAAAAACTCAGAGGCATGGGACCTGAGCAATGGTCCAGTGGTTAAATCCTCGCCTTGCGGGCCCAGCATGATAGCTCAGGCGTTAAAGTCCTCGCGTTGAACGCGCTGGGATCCCATATGGGTGCCTGGAGGATCCACTTCCCATCCAGCTCCCTGCTTGTGGCCTGGGAAAGCAGTCGAGGACAGCCCAAAGCTTTGGGACCCTGCACCCATGTGGGAGACCTGGAAGAGGCTCCTGACTTTGGATTGGCCACTTGAGGAGTGAACCATTGGATGAGAGATCTTCCTGTCTCTTCTCCTCTCTGTATACTTGCCTTTCCAATCAAATAAATAAATCTTTGAAAAAAAAAAATAAATAAAATAAAATAAAAATCCTCGCCTTGCTCGTGCCAGGGTCCCAAATGGGTGCTGGTTCGCGTCCTGGCTGATGTACTTCCCATCCAGCTTCCCGAGGCCTGAGAAAGCAGTAGAGGATGGTCCAAAGCCCTGGGACCCTGGTACCTGGTGTGGGAGACCCGGAAGCAACTCCTGATTCCTGGCTTCAGATCAATTCAGCTCTGTTCTAGCTGTTGTGGCCACATGGACAGTGAACCACCAGGTAGAAGATCTTTCTATCTTTCTGTAACTCCTTCTCTATGTAAATCTGGCTTTCCAACAAGGGGAAAAAAACAAAACAAAACAAAAACCAAAAAAGCACTCAGCTAGAAATCACAAATGTGAAAAAATGGTAAACATAAAGGGATTGACAAACACCCTGAATTTCATGTGGTTTTGCCTCAGAATGAGCAATGCTAGTTAAAAAAAAAAAAATCAAATAAAACTCAAGAACTCTTCCCTCAAACATTCAGATATTGTTTTTAAAACAGCCGTAACTTTTCCTTCTCAGTTTACTATCTTGGAACAATTTCAGGAATCTTTCCTTAAACTTCTAAATGGCTACAGGGGCATACAAGCAGCAGGAATTAAGTCCATATTCAAATTATAATTGCCAATTACAAAAGTGAAATTTAAATTGGTAATCCACATTTACCAATATTTGAAATAAGTCATTATCATAAAAAGATATTACTTTACCTAAAAATTATAAAACTAAGTAAAAAAAATTTTTACTTTTATATACAAAATAGGACCCATCACATTTTAAATGTCATTTCTGTATATACTAGAGTTAAGTTTGATTTTTCGTTTACCTTTTCAATGATTATAACATATTTGTTGTAACTGAAAACAAACAAACAAAAAAACCAATATGAAAAACTTACTTGAAATTCATTAACGTATTGTGCCATGACAAACTCATGTCTTTCACTGGATAAGGGCTCCACTAGAACATCAGGTAAAGCTTTAGCAGTCTGGTTTGCCTTCTGTGAAGCAGTGCCATTGAGGTGGCAGTCAAATCCTATGTTTCCAGGCAGCTGGAACCTCTGATCCTGAGGTCCAAAGGGTCCCATCGTTTCATCAGGCCACACTGTTCGCGTGCCTAGAGAGAACAACAAAACAGGTTTCCTTTCACAATTGAGAGCACTAAAAAACTCAAAGAGATTGTGCTGCTGCTGCTTTAAAACAAATTTTTTTTAATTGGAAAGGCAGACATACAGAGAAGGAAAGACAGAAAGAAAGATCCCCTGTTCACTGTTTTACTGCTGTCCAAGTGGCTGTAATGGCTGGAGCTCAGCCAATCAGAAGTGAGGAGCCAGGAGCTTCTTCCAGTCACACACATGGGTGCAGGGTCCCATGGTTTTGGTCCGTCCTCTACTGCTTTCCCAGGCAGCAAACAGGGAGCTGGAAGGGAAGTGGAGGAGCCAAGATACAAACTGGCAGCCACATCGATTCTGGTGCATGCGCAGTGAGGACTTTAGCTACTAGGTTACCATGCTGGGCCCTGTTTTGATTATTCTTTAGGATATGATGGAAAACTACCTTATATTCATACAGAAGAAATTTTTTCAAAGTCATTTTAGGTTCAGATAACATACTTGTAAGAGCAAGAACAAACCTTAAGAGCAAAAACAAAGAAACCTAAATTTTGCACACACACACACACAAAAAATATTTAAATGATCCAAAAAAAAAGTCTAATTATTCAGAGTAGGGTTTTAGTTCAGAACAACAAAGGGACAACTGCTGTTCACATTACTTGGAAATAAAAACAATTATTTCTCAATACTCTGCCAGAGCTGAGTAACTGAAAAAGATTACATAAACAAGGCTCCCTCTTCGTTGTATCACCTGATTACTTCTGTATGACACCATCATTCAACAATCAGGAAACCTGCTCTTACTGGATTGTGACACCATCTCAAAATCCCCAACACAAAACAACCACCCTAACTCAGTGTTTCACAAACTTCAAAAAAACCACTTAAGATACATGTAGGATCTTGCTGACATGTGGATTCTGATTTATCAGGCCTAAAGTGGGGCTCTAGAGTCTATTCTCCTAACAAGTTCCCAGATGATACCAAGGTACATCGTGTCGAGTTAACAAAGCTCTAGATAGCTACTTATAATTTTAATCAGGTCATAAAATGAAGATATTTATGAACAACATGATTTTGAAAGACAATGTACTCGCTTCGGCAGCACAGATACTAAAATTGGAAGAAAAGACTACATTTAAGATCTTCTGATTCTCTTCAGAAAGTGCCTCCCACCAACAGTGGATCTGTAAGAAGTTTCCATAGTTCACAGGTATTTGTGTTCCTCTAATGTGAAAGTCTGCTTGTATCTTCATTTATTGTACTTGTTGGGTTTTTATTGGGCTCTTCTTGCTACTCATCTATACAAATGCTTTATATATTCAGGAGACCAATCCTTTGCATAGGTTGACGGGCAAATCACTTTTTTTTGATAACTACAGTTATTTGGAGATCAGTCAGGGATGGTGCAATATGGAAGATTCTGAATGCCCAAGTGAACTTCAAATCCACTGCAAGTAGCGAGTTTCATGAAAAGATGATTCCATGTATGACATTTATTGGACACTTTAAGTTTTTAATGGTCTTTAACATATTAGTGTGCATTATCAATTTTAATATAGGAATATGGTAGGTAGCATTTCTTAAACTTAACACAGAAATATTGCATTATCAATTTTAATATAGGAATATGGTAGGTAGCATTTCTTAAACTTAACACAGAAATATTTAGCCTTTTTGTTTGTTTTGCTTTAATCATGAACAATGATTTATAGTTTGAGGTTAGTTTAGGAACTGCTAGTAAAAACAAAGTTTATCAAGAAACTGACAGGATTAGAATATTTAGCATGATAAGCCTAATAGTGATATTTACAGTGAATTCAAAGATACAGATTTTATACATAGTAGGTAAGTTACTGATTCAATAAAGACTAATTTATATAACAGCTAGCTACATAAATTTAGGAAATAATGGTAGGAAGAGGCAACGTAGGTGAACAGGAGAAATGTTTCAAGGAGATTGCGTATGGCTGGAGATAGAAAGAGACTGAAGTTCAAGAAAATAAGCTTTGGAAACCAGTACGGACGATACCCATTTTGCAACAGTGCAAAGCAATATATATTCATTAGAAACTATATTTAAATTGTGAATTTTTATCTTTTCCTGCCTACCAATATACCTATGGTGCAGCATCTAGTGCTATGCATGTGGGTACATTACTGACATTCTTACAGAATTCTGTGATGTTGGACTATGATGTTAGGTTAGGTGTATTAGATGTATTTTGACTTACAGGTATTTTTAATTTTTAAAAAGCTGTATCATAAGTCAAGGAGCATCTGTGTTTGTTCTTTTTTCACCCTTCTGTAATTGTAGCTTTCTGGTATAAATATATATGTAAAGCCTTGATTTATTTTCAATGGAATAAAAACTGAAAAAGTATTTCTAAAAACCCAAGAAGAAATATTAAAGGAAACACAACTTAGAATGTTTTGCGACATTAAGTAGCAGTAACCCTTACTTACATACATCTGGAGGTGCAGCAGCCACGTGAGACTCATCAGAGCCCGAGGAGCCCGCAGTTGAGAAAGCTCTGGGGTTGATAGCCCTCCTAACCAAGGAGCCAAATCCTGGGAGATAGGAAACTAGTCTGGCTCTGTTACAAAGCACCTGAGAACAATACACAAGTTAAAAATTACTTTTCTAGATAATAATGTTATGACACAGACATTTTCTGCAAATCATAATACTGAGCTTTACTTTTACTGAATATCCGCTGTGTACCAGGATTAAAAATAATGGACAATGTTAGAACCGACAGAGTCACTTTTGTCAAACCAAGATAAATGTACCCAGAAAGTCACGAAGGGGGTTGGTCCTTAGGCTCACTTGCCTGACAACAGAGTTCTTACAAAATCTGTGCAAATTACAATATTACACAAAGGCTACCACAGCCTTACACATACAAAAATTTCACAAGTCTCCTTACGCAGCAATTTCTAGCTCAACTCTGGTCAGACACTAGCCTTGTTATTAACCTTTGTGGCCACTGAGAGTTGTATAGGTACACTATTTCACAATGCAGCCTACTGTTCTAATAGATAATAGATTTACTATAACATAGCCATACCATTCATTTAAGCAGTCAATCTATGATTGCTCTCTCTCAACATAAGGGAAAGATTGAAGTAGTTGCAACACAGATGTAACCGACAGCCCCCAAATGCTCAAACTCTGGCTCTTAACATTAATCAACAATTTTTAGTTTTGCAAAAAAGGTATACAAAAAAAAATATTCTATCAACTGTGAAATCCTATTAAGAGATAAGCAATTAAGAGTCCTTGGTGGTGGTGATGAGGGGGGTTAGGGTAAACTCAGCTTGTTTATTAACTAACCCATGTTGTTAGTTGGTGTCGTGACTGTTCCATTTAGGTTCCAACTCTCTGTTCATGGCTGAGGAAAAGCAGCAAAAGATGGCTTAAGTGTTTGGGCCCCGCCACCCACATGGGAGACTCAAATGAAGCTCTTGGCTTCAGCCTGGCACAGTCATTGTGGCTATCTGGGGAATGAAATAGCAGAAGGAAGACTGCTCCTCATCCCCCACCCCTGTAGCTTTGAATAATGAATGAACAAATACTGGAGGCCCATGAAAACCACTGCCCCAACCATGGCGTGATCTATTAAGCTGCTTCCTCCAGTGCAGGCATCCAATAAGCATGCTGGTTCTTGCCCTGGCTGCTCTGGTTCTGATTCAGCTCCCTGCTAAGGATTCTGGGAAAGCAGCAAATAACAGCCCAAGTGGAGTTTGGGCCCTTGCCACCTACATGAGAGTTTGAGAAAGTTCCAGGTTCCTGACCCTGCCCTGGCTGTTGTGGCCATTTGGCAAGTGAATCAGCAGATCGAAAATTTTTCTCTCTTCGCCTCTTCTCCCTTCTAATCCTGCCTTTCAAACAAAACTAATTAAAAAAAAAAAAAGTCCAGTGGCTAAAGCTCTCACCTTATACATACTGGTTCTAGTCTCGGCAGCCCCGGTTCCCACCCCGCTCCTTGCTTGTGCTTTGGGAAAACAGTTGAGGCCAGCCCAAAGACTTGGGACCCTGCTCCTGTGTGGGAGACCTGGAAGAGGCTCCAGGCTCCTGGCTTCGGATTGGCACAGCTTCAGTCATTGTGAACACTTGGGTACGAACCAACTGATGGAAGATATTTTTCTCTGTTTCTGCTCCTCTCTGTATATCTGACTTTCCAATTAAAAAAAATAAATAAAATAAATAAATCTTAAAGAGAAAGACTCCTGGGGAAGTAGGTAAAAACATTTCATAAAGTTTATACCTACTGGGTTTTGAAGAAACAGAAATATACTGGGAAAATGTACATATAAAAGTATTAATTTGAGTGAGTGAATGAGAGCAAGCATGTAAGCACTAGATCCCACACATTGGTTCACACTCCCAATGTCCACATCAACTGAAGCCAATCTATGACAAGGCCAAGAGCTGAAGGTAACTCAGGATCTAAATGCAATTAAAAAATTAAAATTCCAAATAATCTCGTACAAAGGTTCAAGATAGGAAGACCAATAATATATGAACATTTTCTTCAATTTAAATTCAAATTGATTAGTCTGAGAGGCAGAGTGAGACCACATGAGAATACATGCTATCATACATTGGCTCTCGCCACAAATGTCTGCAACAGCAAAAGCTGTGCCAGGCTGAAGCTGGGGGTCAAAACTCAACCCAAGTCACCACACGGGCCTAAGGCTCCAGCTACCAGTCTGCTGCCCAGAACACGATTTAGCCAGAAGCTCTGGATTGGAAGTAGAGACAGTACTTGAACCCTAGGTGCTTTGGAAAGTCAGATATACAGAGTGGAGGAAAGACAGACAGGAACATCTTCCATCCAATGATTCACATCCCAAATACTACACAGCTGCAGTTGAGCTGATTCAAACCTAGGAGCCAGAGGCTTCTTCTGGGTCTCCTGAGCAGGTGCATGGTCTCAAGGCTTTCGTCCATTCTCAACTGCTTTCCCAGGCCACAAGCAGGGAGCTGGAGGGGAAGTGGAGCTGCCAGGATTAGAACTGGCGCACATATGGGATCCCGGCGCATGCAAGGACTTTAACCACTACGTTATTGCGCTGGGCCCAAAAAATAAATAAATCTTAGAGTCAAGTCACTTATTACCATTTTAGTGTATATGAATTAATTGTTTCCTTAAAAGCACTATATACTATTTTCTTTTTAAACAATACTTGCTTCCTGTGCAGGTTACTGCCTGACAAACATCCATTTTAAAACCTATCTCAGGGCCCGGCGTGGTGGCGCAAGTGGTTAAAGATCCTCGCCTTGCACGCCCGGGATCCCATATGGGCGCCGGTTCTAATCCCGGCAGCCCCGCTTCCCTTCCAGCTTCCTGCCTGTGGCCTGGGAAAGCAGTCGAGGATGGCCCAAAGCTTTGGGACCCTGCACCCGCGTGGGAGACCCAGTAGAGGCTCCTGGCTTCGGACTGGCATAGTATCGGCCCGTTGCGCTCACTTGGGGAGTGAATCATCGGACGGAAGATCTTCCTCTCTGTCTCTCCTCTCTGTATATCCGCCTTTCCAATGAAAAAGTAATAGAAATAAATCTTTAAAAACAAAAAAAAAAAACCTATCTCAGACTAGCTACCCATGCTTATTATTTGTTACACCTTTAAACTTTGCTGTGCCCAGATTTTGAGATCCGCAGAAATCACCAGGAGTCTGAAGTCGATCCAAGTGCACAAGGATGGTTTATTCAAGCTCAGCACAGCTGAGCCTGGGTCCTGGTTGAGAGCAGGCAGCTCACTGACCAACCGGCCAGCCGGCCAGCCACAATACCCCTTACTGGGAATGTGGCCTGGAACAGAACATTCATAGGGTTTTTATAGGGGCAGTCCACAATAGCCTGCAAGGTGAGGGGAAATACCACACATTCTCAACCTATCTCAGCTGGACAGCCCATGCCTTGGAGCCACCTATGAGATAATCACTTAGGTGGGTCCCGATCCATAAGCAATTGGGGCCCACCAGTGCTAAAGGTCACAGAGGCTGTTTAGCTTCCAAGCTCACACAGTTTCTTAGCAGCCATGAGCCATGAACAAATGGTTGGGACTTTAATACTAAGGTTCTTCAACTTCTCCCCATTGATTTCTTCCACAGCTTTCACTTCAGCAGGCAGGAATGACAACTTAATTTCTGAAAAAGGTGGGAAAGCTCTAAACACACCTCTTATCCTCCTTACTTACATCTGTATCCTCCCAGGGAGCATCCATTTCAAAACTCAAGTTAAAAGCTCAACCCATTAAGTGTCCCACTCTCCCACCCCCTGGTCACCAGGTTCTGACTCTTCACTTGTCTTTTCCCAAGCCTTCTAAGCAGTAGGCCTTCTCACTCCTCCCACCCCACCATGGGAACTCCTACAGTAGGATCTTGCCTGTTTGGGAACACTACATGCTCCTGAGTTCATTTTGTTGGATTCAGAAAGTCCTCCCTCACACTGAAGGAGATCAAAAGTGGCTTCAATATTTTACCTATTTACTGAAACAACGTCTTTAAAGAAATACTGAAAGGATGCTCGCAGTACACGTTGACATAAACATGTAGACAAAGACGGCAGCGTGGATGTAAATGGCCTGTGCTCCCCGCAAAGCAGGACAGCAGCATTTCGCACTGTGTCTTCCACACTTTGGAGGTACTCAGTGTCACAGGCCAGCCTCAAGGCCCTCATAACCACTTGCTCTTTCCTTGTAGAAGGATATTGTGACCCTGGAAGGTCAGAGGGCACAGGATTACAATTGATTGGATAATATCTGTATGAGAACAAGGGAATGGATACCTTTTGTATAACTGATTGGATATCATTTGTATGAGAACAGTTTAGTGGACATCATGTGATTGAGAACACTTGGTGGAATATACAAAACAAAGGGAGTTCCAAACATAAGCATAGAAACAGTTGACAGCTTTTGTTGATAAGCTCAGTACCTCCTCCCTTATCCCATATGACCCTCTGTGTATAGAGTGTGATGTAATCAGTCAGAGTCCACCCGTGTTATTATGGGCTCTGTGCAACAAGTCCTGTGCTGCAAAACAGAGACACTTTCTAACAATAACTTCAGGAGGACTTACTCACATTGGCCATGTCGAGCGCAGAAATCGGATGTGGAATACCCCCTTCTGTAAAGTAACTCCTGGGAAAGGAGAAAACAGGCTGGGGGTGACCGAACTCTAAGCAGACAGCCCGGATCCTGTCCACGATCTCCACCTGGGCGTGTCCCGTGCGGGACAGGACCAAAGTCCATGCCCGACCCCCACACCCGCTGGTGTGGGCACAGGTCCCTGGCTCCCACCAGGGCCTCCCCGAGCCCCCCGAGGACTCCCCAGGGCCGCCCGGAGCCACCCAGAACGGCTCGGAGCCCCCGAGGACCCCGTGGTTCCACCCGAGCACCGCCTGGAGCCCCCAGCTCCCCCCGGAGCCCCCCGAGGACCCCCCAGAGCGCCCCCCCAGAACGACTCGGGAGTACCGACGGCGGTCGCGGGTGGGCACAAGCGCCCAGCTCCTCCCGATCCCCCAGCTCCCCCAGGGCCGCCCGGAGCCCCCCTAGCTCCTCCCGGGCCGCCGGAGCCCCCCGAGGACCCCCAGGGTCGCCCGGGGCCCCAGGACCGTCGCGGCAGGCGTGACACCCGGCCGGGCTGTGCGGCCACAGCTCCGAGCTGTTCAGACCGAGTTCCTTGGGATGAGCAAGCAGAAAGGCACTCAACGCCAGCGTGCGGGGCCACAGGAGTCCCTCCGCGTGGGGGTACTGTTCAGGGCTGTGGCTCCAACACGGGAGACCCCGCAGGAGCCAACGCGAGCGCTAGGCTTCCGTACCAGTCACCACCGCCTCCTCCAGCTGTCTCAGAAGGCAGACTCTTCCCGCCGCGGTAATGGCGGCGGCGAAAACACAGCAGCGTCTTCGCGGGGAGCAACCAGGCTCGGCTAGCTGCTTTCGAGCGCGTCGATGCGAAGGATCGTCGAATCCATGCTGCGCACGCGCGTCACGTAGGCATCGGTAGAGCGACCGGAAAGACAACACCTGAGGAGGAAAGGTGGGGGCGGGGTGACCTAAAAGGCTAGAGGGGAGGGAGCTTGGTTCTAGTGTTTTATTTGTGTCAGGGACTCTTTTGATGTATTCTTCCCTGCCAAGCTTTTTATTTTTTAAGATTTATTTCAATGACCGAATTAGGGAGAGCGAGCTATCCATTCTGCGTCAGCTGGTTCACTCCCCAAAAGGCCGCGAAAGCCTGCGGTCCGGAGCTTCTCCCTCTGTGGGTGCAGGGGCTCAGACCCTTGGGCCACCTCTGCTGCTTTCCCAGGAGCCCCAGCAGGGAGCTGGGCGAGAAGCTGAGCAGTCTGGGACCCGCTAAAGGGTGCCACCAAAGCAGGAGGCTGTGCTGTACCTCAGGGCACCCCGAACTTCCTAGTAACCTGAAGGAGAGGAGGAGACACGCTCGTGGGTGTGCGTGTGCATTTTGTCAGAAACCCGCATTCCGCAAACCCGCATTCCGCTAAGGTCTTGCTAGGTTGTGACCTGATGTTCATTTCTGTCCAGAATGCCGTGTCACACTATATCCACCCTCTGCCCCTTAGATCCTGGACTGTGGTGGTTCTTCAGCCCGTTTTTGCTTTTAGTTCCCTCGAAAGGTTTTTTTTTTTTTTTGAAGATTTATTTTTATTATTTTCATTGGAAAGGCAGATATACAGAGAGGAGAGACAGAGAGGAAGATCTTCCGTCCGATGATTCACTCCCCAAGTGAGCGCAACGGGCCGATACTATGCCAGTCCGAAGCCAGGAGCCTCTACTGGGTCTCCCACGCGGGTGCAGGGTCCCAAAGCTTTGGCCCTGCTTTCTCGGGCCACAGGCAGGGAGCTGGAAGGGAAGCAGGGCTGCCGGGATTAGAACCGGCGCCCATATGGGATCCCGGGCGTGCAAGGCGAGGACCTTTAACCACTTGCGCCACCGCGCTGGGCCCCCCTCGACAGTTTTAAAGCCTTCTCATCAGTCATTTTATCAAACATCCCTTCCTTGGAGCTTAACCTGACGTTGACTGAGGTTATGCACTTTTTGGGTGAAAAAAAAAAATAGTCCCCTTCTCATCACAATGTGCCAGCGGTGAATAATATGGGCATGGTAGGCTTATCACTACTGATGCTAATTTTTTTCACCTTGCCAAGATAAGTGCTTGTTGAGTTTCTCCACTGTAGACTTTTCCACCCCATTCCATGTGCTACTCTTTGGAAGAATTTCAGCATACACAGGCCAGGGTGTGGCACTGCGAAGTTAGGCCCATCCTCTCTGAGGGCAGAATAGCTTCACAATTACTTGAAATTCCTCTGTGTGAGAGCTTCATCTGTTGCCCTATTTTCTTGTTTTTTTTTATTTATCAGTGTCATCTAGGAAATTGTTTAAACGCAGGGTGGGAAGCATTTGTTTGTCTCGAATCGTCTTTTTTTTTTTTTTTCTAAGCTGGTGCTAAAATGCTGGGAATTTATTTTAAAAATTGTACCGCGGTTAAGGTCATTATAATTAAGCTGAGAGTTGAAGTGGAAAGAGAAATGCATATTTTCTCAGAGATAACCTTAGATATATGGCAAGACCAGGAAGAGGGGGGGAAAGTGCTTGTTGTTCCTTTGTCAAATCTGGAAATCAGGTCCTTCAGGAGTATAAAGTGCAAAAACATTCCAAAGAAATTGTTCATTTGGGGCCTTTATATGCAAATCTAAGTAGCATAAAATTATTTCTGGCTCTAAAGAGATTATTCTAGGTTGTCTCTAAATGCCAAGAGTTACCCGTCTGAACTCCCTCTGCAGGTGCTATTCTAAATAGGCAGGCTACAGCCCAGTGTTTTTAATTGGGTCATATATCAGGTATATCAGGTTAAATTACTAAGTATCATTATGCTTTAGTTTCCCAATTTAAAAAAAAATATTTTTTTTTTTATTTGAAAGTTAGTCACAGAGAGGAGTGAGACAGAGAGACAGAGAGACAGAGGGAGAATATGAATGAATCTTCCCACTGTTGGTTCACTCCCCAAATAGCCCTAAAGGCCAGAGTTGAGCCAATCCTAAGCCAGGAACCAGGACCTTCTTCTGAGTCTCCCAGATGGGTATAGGAGCCCAAGGACTTGAGCCATCCTCCACTGTTGTCCAAGGCTGTAAGCAGGGAGGTGGATCAGAAGTGGAACAGTCAGGACATGAACCAGTGCACATAGGATGTGGATACCAGTAGACAAAAGCTTAGTTTGCCATACCACTTCACTGGTTTCATTAGTCTTATCCTTCTAAGATGGGTAATATTAGTAATTTAAAAAATTCTGTGAAGATTATGTAGGTTAATACATAGATAATACTCATATAGCAACACATCCAGAGCTGAGGGCGGAGTAGAATATAGAAATTTTCAGGAGCCTTTGCCTTTGTGGAGCCAGTGCCACAGGTGGCTTTCTTCTGCCTTTGCATAGCCAACTTTGCTCTCTTCCATGAGTTCTGCGGACTCATGATGGGGGCTGATGGAGTGGGCTTGAAACCACACATGTGTTTTGGTTCCAAGGATGGTGGGTAAGAGGGAGGGAAAGGAGCCGGGCTAGTGTAATGTGCCCATGGGCCAGGCCTGGGGGTCTCACGCACACACTTGTGTCCCAGGTGAGTGGAGAGGTAAGGCCCCAGACCTGTGCACGCACCAGCATACCGACTCTGTGCCAGCGTATTTACCCTGGGAACCCAGCTATGATCTTGGTCTCTGCTGGGCAGGCAGAGCTCCAGGCCAGTATGTCACTTTACCAGAAGACTGGGCTTAGAAAGACCAGCCTGGGGAAGCCATGTACTCCTGGGCACAGGGACTGTGGATTGCTCAGGGAAGGAGATATGGGGAATTGAGGGAAGGAATACTGCTGAGGGAGTATGCCTCAAGTGAGGAATAACTTCTGAGGAATTTCCACTGATAAGTCCACTGTACTTGCAGGTAAATGAAGGCACTGAGACTGAGTGGTTTGAAGGTAGGGAAGCTAGAGGACCTTCTGAGTTAGATTAATGCACCCAATCAAGTGGGAGACTTGAGTTGGGCTAGTTTGACCCCCACTAACCACCACCACAGGTGCAGGAAAAGCTAGGGCTGGTGGCCTACCTGAAAGGGCTACATCACAGTACGTACCAGTGAGTATTGAAACAGAGATGGGTCACGTTAGGCTGGGCCATGACACTAACCAGCTTGTAAGAGAACTTTGGGGGCAGATTCTATGGGGGTATGTGGACCCACCCCTGTGGAATTTCCCCTGGTTTGCTTAAGAGCCAGGGTTGGCGATGGGCATGACCATGAAACACTCTGACACTCATGGGTACTGGGGCTGGGAATAGACTGGGCTGGTCCAGACTGCAACACCTGCAGGTGCACCCAAGAATAGGTTGTGTGGTGGGCTGGGCAGCAATATCCACCACCTTATATACAAAGGCCAGGATGGAGAGGGCAAACCGTGCCCACTGGCCAAGGCCTAGCACCCGTCAGCATCTTGAGATCTGAGAGTGCCTGGTGGATGAATTTGGGAAATTCCTCTGGTGGGCCACATTTCCCAGTGGTGAACATGTGAATTTGGGTTGGTTGCTGATTCATCTCTTGGCAAGTGTGTGGGTTGGTTCTGGAGGGGACCAAGCAGGTTCATGCCAAATCTTAGCTCATTGGCATGTACAAGAGCCAGAATGGAGTGTGGGTTATGCTGGGCTAGGCTATTACATTGGTTTGCATGAGCCAAGGATGAGTGCAGACCAGGCAGGGCTAGGCTTCAGTACTCACCAATAAGAGTTGATAGTGGGGGCAGGCCAGGACAGAACAGGCTGTAGCATCCTATAGCAAAGGACAAGTCAGGAAATGGGCTATGCTGAGCTGGGTCAGAGCAATCACTGGCATGCACAAAATCTGGCTGGGAATGGGCCTAGTCAGGGATCTAACGGGATGCCCTGACTGGGTTGTTAGTTCCATTGATGCGTGTGAGAGTTCAAATGGGGCCAGTGATCTGGGCTGGACATGACTACAGTGTTCCTTGGCATGGGTGTAGACTGGGTTTGGAGTATGCCAGAGTAGGCTAGGCTTAAGGACCCACTGATGCTCATGGGAACCAGGATGGGTATAGCATGGGCTGGGCAGGGCTGGGTCTCAGTACCTGCTGAACCATGTGAGAGTTGTGTCTGTGCCTGGATCAGCTGTGACAGAACTGTAGCACCCAACAGTAAGAACTGGAATGGGTATGGGTCAGTAAGAACTGGGATGGCTGTGGGTCAGTTGGGTAAGGCCACTGTTCCTGCCGGGATAGGAGGGGAACTCAGTCAGCCTGGGCCAAGGACCCACTGGTATGCACGAGATCTGCCACTTGAAGGAAAGCTGATACAGGAGCTTCGGGAAATCCTCTGTCAGAATGCAGTCCCTGCAGGGGAGCACAAGAACCAAAGCTATGAGCAACCCAGGAAACCAGGCCAGGTTATAGTACTTGCTGGCATACATCTGGCTTAGGTCTGGAGGCAGGCCAGGCTAGGCCAGTTCATAATACCCACTGGCAGATGTGAGAACCGGACAAATGCAGAACAGGCCAGGTTGGGCCATAACAACAGCCAGTTCACGTTAGGGCCAGGAATGGAGGCTGGCTGGGCCGGGCTAGGCTGTAGCACCCATCAGCATGAGCTGGAACTGGGGGTAGACCAGACCAGTTCACCCTATAGCACATACCAACAAATGTCAAGATGAGGCAGGCCATTCCAGATTGGGCCCAAGCACACAGGAGACCCTGCATGTGAACTGGAGTAGGAAGAGAACATGGCTGGGTCAACTAACTATCCACTGGTAGATGCATAGGCCAGAGTAAGGGCAGGCTGGTTGGGCTTCACCCCAAATCAGCTGACAGGTGCTGGGACTGGTGGCAAATCCTGTCAAACTAGACTGCCGTGCGACCTGGAGAGACCAAGGATACTTAGTAAATGGAGTTATTTTTCCTGAGGCTGAGGATCCAG